AATGCTCGCTGCTACCTGGTGCTGCTGTTTTGGCGATACAGCCGTCATGACGTCAAAGTGAAAGACCGGCAGAAGGTCGCGGTGACCGTGGAATTGTCCCGCTTACTTTACTATAGTCTGCACGAGCTCGTTATCTTGGTCAAAGGAATCAACGATTGCTCCATACTTTTCGACTTTCTATTCCAGATCTAATGTCCCCACAATCACAATTGCACGTTGGCTGAACACATTTGCGTACCTGAATATATTCGACTACAAATCGAACCTTCTCTTACCTACGAACATGGCCATCCCACAAGACTCCGCCACTGCGAATCGGCCACCAAAAACGAAGGGCACACAGCTAGCACCCGAAGAAAATAGCGACATCGCGCGAATCAGAAATTGTCTCCAAGGTGGCGCAGACGCGGCCGAGGTCGCATCAGAAGGATACCGCGTCTGTCGCATCAACGCCTTTCTCCGGCGCGACCTTCAACAAGCTCGCAATGAGATTCGTAAGAACCGCGTCGACAGACAGACACAATCTGTTCAAGAAGATGCTCTCAAGGAACTACGTGATGAGTTGCCCGCAACGCGCCAGATGCTCGAGCGCCTCTGGGGTTTGCTCGAGCAGCGGAAGGTCAAGATACCCGACGACGTCAAGGCCGACTATCAAGCGCTGAAGACCAAGGACTCGCATGACTGGCAGCCCCGGCAGAGGGTCAGGACAGTGAAAAGCGTAGTGGCAAAGGGCAAGAGAATCGAAAAACCCAAAACGAAGACGGAGAGGAAGGCTGAAAGACAGCGGGTCGATAAATTGCACAAGCGTCTCGAAGAAGGGAAAGCCAAGCAGACCAAGTTTCTGTTACACACCCCAGACGGCGAAATGTACGACGCACGGAAGCCTGTCCTTATTCCAGACGAAGCTGGAGACGAGGACGTTGCCGGCGAGCAGATGACAGCGGAAGAGGCGGCAGCCATCGAACATGCCGACTTCATGAAGAATGGCAGTTCTTACCGACCCCGGGCGCTTACTCCACCGTCTGGGCTTGTCGCGAAGAACGTCGTTGCGGGAGTCAAGCGCAGGTCAAGCGATTCGAATCCCTTTGCGACACTCAAGATGGGTGAAATAGAAGGCGTGTTCGTGTCGATCGCCGAGAGCCAGTTGGGATGAGTTTTGTTACCATCAGGGGGTATGGAGGTCTTCAAGATATCTTTGCCATGAAAACGGGCTATGACATTGTCTGGCTATGTACTAGTGGTGTTTTCAGCCAGAGGCAACCGCGTCTATCTTGATAGTAGACTCATGGCTTTCCTCATGACACGACATATCTGAGCCCGGAACTACCTGCATATTCTGACATTGGCCTTTGTCCTCGAGGACGTGGTCTGCGCAACTTTACCAAATGGTAGTATTTTGATGATGAGCTCATCTCATTTGGCTCCTGGCGTCGACACACAACTCCGACCCCGCAGTGCATTTCTTACTGAATAATATGCTGGGAGTTATGCCGAAGTTGCCCACGCATGCGATTGATGGATGATGAATATGTGCGTCTCCACACGTGCAGCCGATCGATTTGTTTGCTTGTTTGCTGAATAACAGCGTCTCGCCTTGTTGATTTCACGCTCGTCTCCAATGAACACCAGCATCTACTGCCACTGTGCCTGAGTGTCTCCATTATTTCTTTGTTCCAGTCTTCGCAAGCCAAAATCAGCGAGACTGCCTGTTCAGACGCGGCAATGTCGTGTTATCAAGGCATTCGCAAGGCAGCACGCGCCCGGTTCTTTCAAGCGAGGCCACTTCAGACACAGGGCGGGAAGGGGTGGTCACGTCGATGGTTGAGGTAGCCCGCCGAGCAAAGTGCACTCGCGTCGTCGAGAGCCTCCTCGACATCGACCCGTTCTACCAGAAGATCACTCAAGCTGTGGATTCAATGTCCAAGATGTGACTGGCTCGATGGGTCCGATATCATGTCACCTCCGGGTTTCTGTTTAGGGCTTTTGGTCCGTAGTGCTTGACTCACGTGAGGAGGGCCTATCCATGGATGTCATCGCCTGGGCGCCTGCTGGCACCATTGCGCGCCAAAGCAGAAACACGGTGCACGCTCGCTCCGCTTTCGCGAGCAAGGAAATTACCATGCTGACATATCGCGCGATGCGTCATGTCACTACATGCAGGCTTCCAGTTGTGCAATGTACTCCTATGTACTCATCCTTCATTTGCACTTTCGCACGTCCTATCAGGCAGGGGTCGCACGGGCTGCTCTGCCTTTACCCCTATGAGTTTGACAGCTGCGTACAGTCCCCCCCCCCCCAAGTCAGGGTGCCTGGTGTTGTTCGGACTCTCTTTGTAAGATCCGTACACCCCATAGACGCTAGGCACCCGAACCAGAGGGGGGAACTGTACTGACAGTGGCCAAAAACGAGTGCCAGGCCCACACGGATGAACGGCACCTCTTATGACGTATCGTCACTCACCACGGATAAGTATTGCGAGGCTCGAGTAGGACGCCAGCCTAGCCGATTATGCGCCGAGTTGAACAAACGGCTGCGGGTTCGAGCATAGCGTAGGTTTCACTTCCCGGCCAGCTGTTAGTTCCGTTCAACGGTGCAAGAGGATCTGCGGCCTACCTAGGTACCTGCAGGCTGCGGAACGTGCCATGACTTGGCGCGCAAGAACCTCGGCCTCCACGCGAAGCGCTAACGGTTTGGGCGTCAGCAATTTGGAGACGCGGAGATGAACTCGACGGTGCGGTGCGCGTTTAGGAATGCCAACTCCATCGAGCGAGGAAAGAAGCCACTTGACGGTCTTGACACTGCTGATCTGGAGCTCAACTACACCCATGGATTCCACGCGCAGCCAAAGCGGTAGTGAGCGCATTCCAGCTTGCCCAGGTGGTAAGATGTTTGCGACCTGGAGTATCAGCCTCGACGAGACATGGTGAGACGATTGTCTTGTCGGGCGTGCAAGGATTAGCGACGGAACATTGTCACTGTCGCCGAACACGATCTGTCGCTTGCAGGTGCTGCAATACCACGCCTGTGCCACATCAGGCCATGTAGACGGAGAAGGACGGCGACTGGTGCCGGACAAACGAGAAGAGCCAGCAGCCGATCGTAGTGGTAATTTCCAAGGCTGCCCACGAGCTGGCGGGTCACCAACTCCCAGTGCGTTGCCCGCTGGCTATCAGTCTTTTCGTGAACTGCGTCTCGAGATGCTCCACAGCGCCCCATCCCGAGTGCATCTCGCTTTCGAACATCTCATTCGGCGGCGCCAAAGTCATCGCGGTCTTGAGTTACCATGCATCATGCTACAACTCGCAACCAGTTCTGAAATGCTGATGATACCTGTCTTCTCGTACCCTCTCCTCCAGCCATATGATATTTGGAGAGTTGACTTTGCGTATATATCCTGATGCCAACAGTATACAGCAAAGGCAGGCTCTCATTGCCTTTCCATTTACGTCTCTTACTTTCAATCAATATTTCAAGGTTTGCCTGCAGACAATGGCACCAACCACCAGATCCGGATCTGGATCTGGATCAAGTCCAATCCCAAACAGCCATGCACGACACAGCTTGGCTTCTCAACCTGTCAACGATTCAGCCCAAAGTCATGGTAGCCGACGCGATGTACCACAGGTGCATTCTCCCGCCGTAGACAACGTGCCAATAGTCCACAACACCCCTGCACTCCATGTACAGCGCATGCTCCATGTCCGTATTCCACGAAAGGCCACCGTCATGCCCAACCGATTGCTGGAGGAGCGAATCATAGCGCCACAAAAGCAAAAGAATCAGAAGCGATACCAGGGCCTGGTGACCAAGCACAAGTACCGACTCGGCTCGCCAAGGTTCAGGATCTCGAGGCGCATTAGAGACCCAGAGTGCTGGGAAGTGCTTACGCGAGATACTGAAGTTGTGGGTCCTAAAGGGTGTTGGGTTGCGAAAGGAACGCCGACTTTGGAACGCCCGTTCGGGAGTGCTGCCAACGCGTACCGCGTATACCACGTCGATCGCAAATGTCTCAACGAGAAGCTGAAAGGCGAGGTAGCATACACCCACCTTGCTATGAATGTCATGGGCTTCAGGTGGGCGCTCAAGTTCACGACGATAGTGGGAGATGTGCCCCAGCAGTTCGAAGTGTCACATCTTTGCGGTCACTCGCATTGTTATCGGCCGTCCCACCTGGTGCTTGACTCACATCAAGTCAACTTGCGACGATCGCGATGCTCTGGCCATGGCTGTACCCATGCACGCGGACGCGGCCAGAAATGCTTCGGGCACGAGGAATGTCCTGAGTTCTGCCCGGAGCGTTTGAAAGAGGTGGAGCGGCAGTTGAAGCGAGATGGCCACCGGCCTGACAAGTGCGACTATGCAGAGATAGTGGAGTAGTGGAGGCACGCACGCACGCCACTGATATGTCTGAAACACCGCATGTATTGTTACCTTGTTGTTGATCTACTCTGCATTAGAATCAATATCGTTCGCAGCCGCACCGAAGGCAATCCCTTACTGAATGTCGAAGCCAATTGCATGTTGCCTCCAAGCAGTAGCCCGAGCACTGATAGCTTCAGGAGAGACTTGCTAGCCGAGAACATCCCGTCCCCTGCCAATGCTGCAGTGCTGGAACCTGTGTGGCTTGGCTATCACAGTTCGACGCACGGTAAGTTCCTGAAGGGCTGATATTACCTAGGTAGCGTGGCGGCGTGACGCATTGTGTAAGCAGCTATAACAATTAAACAGCTGCTGTTTGTAGAGCTCTGCCTGTAGTCCCGTCCTATTGTTCTTGTTCCCCCAACTTCATCGTAACCTTTACTTTCTTCTCTTCTCATCGCACAATGCGCGTGTACAGCCTCAGGTCTCGGTGCCCTCCCCCAGCACCACTTCGAAGCCCTCAGTCTCCGAATTCGCGCAAGTCTCCGCGCGCGTACAACCTCAGGTCTCGGCGCTCTCCCCTAGCGCCGCTTCGAAGTCCTCAGTCTCCTAAGTCGCGCAAGCCTCCGAAAAAGTCAGCCATGCCCTCTACCCAGACTTCGCGAAAGCCCTCTCGCCGGCGTTCTGGCTCCGGATCGACCGTCCGAGCACCTCATCTTTCCGTCGGCGATCCCGTTGACCCGAACTTGGGAACATACACACTCGACAACCTGCCCTTACTTCGCTGTGGGAAGTTGCCATCCGAGGTGATTAAGCAAATCGAGAAGTTGGTGAAGTATATAGGATCAAAGGTCCCGATCGGCCAGAGATCCTCTTGGCTGAAGGGACACCTGGAGGACGCTCATCTCAACCACATCGGCTTTGGAGATGTGTTCGAGAGGCCTGATCGGGCCAAGGAGATGGAAGTGCTGAAGGAAATGGAACTGCAGCATCCATCACCGAGCGACTTTGAGAAGACGTATAAGGGTCTCCTCCCAAAGCTGCCAAAGTGTGAGACGCCGCAGATCCGGGCGTTGAAGATGCTCGATATGTACAGCAGGGCTGGCTGGATGATGGACAAGGCGTGGGCCTATCTCGAGGACAACTTTAACGTTGTAAATGGCGGGTGCTGGATTGCAAAAAAGACGGCTTGCGAGGACTACCCGTACGGATTTCGCTCGAAGGATCGCCCTAGGCTTCATGTCACGGTAAGTACTACATTTTCGGTGCAAATACCGAAACTATACTAACTTTGCATTTCTAGCAGTCCAAAGTAGATGTACATGTACCTTACAACTGGTTCTCGATGATTGTACGCGGGTATGGACATCTCCTGAAATACTGTACTACGCGACGACAGGGTCTGAGATGGGATGTATCCCATCTGTGCGGCCACAGCCACTGCGTGCGTCCCTCGCACATCATCATCGAGCTTCATCTCGAGAACCTGGCTAGACAGCAGTGTGAGGGTGGCGAGCGATGTCGTTGCGGCGACATCCCAGACGCACCTGGCTTTGGGCATCGTTGCCTGGGCCACCGGAGCTGTTCGAACACTTGCCCAGAGAATCTGCGGCGTTTGATCCGAGTAACCCCGAAGTTGATTAAGTGTAAGGCGTGGATCGACGGCAAAAATAACGATCCTAGGGATCGCCGCATGCGCCACCGGGTGAAAAAGACGAAGTCTTACAAAGAGCGACTGCAAGATGCGCTTGAAGCTATCAACGCCACGAAGGACAAGGAAGCTACCCAGACAGCGCCCAAGAGGAAGGCGGACGAGGAACCTGTGGAGAGGATCCAGAAGAAGGCTAAAGCTGTGACGGAACGTCGGGTGTCACCTCGGAGCAAGGCCGCTAAGGAACCCGCGTTGAAGGCTAATACAGCCACAACTAGGGCGCAACGTCGGGTTTCTAGCAGGAAAAAGTAAGTTGCGACATCAGTGATGGAAAGGACTTGTGGGCAGAATAGTTCGCTTTCTCTTCGTATTATTACACAATTCATGCAAGCTATCCAAAATCTCCTCACGATCCTCCAACGTCCAAGTCCGCCGTGAAGTCTTTCCGAATCGTCAAATTTTCAAAGGTTTCCTGATTTTCGATGACCAGGCCTTGTTCGTTGGCCAGATGCAACAAACAAATAAAGCAGTAGCTCGTGGAGATATCAGCCAGGGTTTGTTTTGGGTAGACGGCCTGTAGGCTGTTGACAACGTCGGTAAAGGTCAACGAACCATCCACGGCCTTGTTTGCTGGATCGTCGGCAACATTGGGCTGAGGAGGCGCAGAAATCTGATGGTTGTGAGCTTGCGAGTCAGATGAAGACGGCTAGATACAACTTACGCCATCGAACCCGATACCCCGCCAGAGTTCGTCCTTTAATCTTTTCACGTCCACCTTCTTTGCGACCCTTGCGTACTGGACGTATTCAGGCCGAAATCGTCGGCTTTGCGTCACTAGCTGAGCACCGAATGCGTCGGTCTGCGAACCCGGTTGCATGCCGTCGAGTGGTAGTGTAGCTTCAGGTGCGTCAGGCGGCGGCGAGAAGTGATCGCGCGCATCTGCAAACACATCGTCATCGTCGAGAGGGCCACTAGGTATCTGGAGACCATCATCCTGGAAAAAGTCGGCGTCGTAGTTTCCCTGTGCATCGTCACCGTCGCCTTCTTGACCCTGGTGAGCCCAGTATGCTTCGTCCACGCGTGCTGAATCTCCAGGGAGTGCATGTGCACGGCGTCCTCCCTTGCGTGAGCCCATACGCGCCTTGGGTTTAAGGAAAAGACGCAGCAGCTGTTTGGAGTTGAAGTGCTTGTCGTCTGGGAGAAGGTTGCGCGACCTGGACTTCCATTGTGCTTTGGGTAGAGATATCGCGGAGTTGGATGTCGCAGGCGTGTAGAGCACATCTGCTAGTGTCTGTGTCATTGGAGCTGTGAAGTCGATCTCGAATGGCTCCCTTTCCTTCCGTTTCGTCGCCGGTGCTGTCTTTGCGGAATGCTTGACGCGTGAGATGCGCCAATGCTCAGGCCCTGCCCAGCTCTTCTTAAGAGCTTGGTCAAAATAGCTAAGGATGTTCTCTTGTTCTTGGTCGCGGCCGTGCATCATGGACACGCCATACTGAGCGTCGGCACTGTCTGTGTTCTCGTCGCCATTCAGGTCCATGGTGTGGATGCGAGCTTGTGGATGCTGGATAGCCTCACGAGCCCAGATCTCCCCGCCTTCGCCAAAGCCCGTCTCTGGAGGCAGATCAAACCCGCCCATATTCAGGTCATGATCGTCGTCAAATTCCATGGGGTTATCGTCGCCGAGAAAAAGACCTGATTGGCTGCCTGCGTTGTCGTCTCCGTGCTTGGCTCCGTCTTCACCGGAGGAGTTGTCAGCAGCCTTGAGGAAGGGAAGGTCCATAGAGCCATTCACATCGCCGAGATCGAACGTCTTCATCGACGGACACACGTCTTGCCGGTCGAGCTGGGAAAGATCGTGGAAGTACTTGGCAGTCAGGCCGGATATGTCAACATCGATGGCGTCGGGGGCCAGTTGATGGTCATGAGTGGGGAGTGAATCTTGGGTGGCGGCATCGTTGGCGTCATCGCTGCTGTCGAAGACAATCCTGCCGCTCCCGTCTATAGCCAGGTGGTTAAGAAGGAGTCCTTTGGCCCCGCCCTCGTCAAAGTCGGCCGAGGCTTTTTTGAAGAGCGGATCAACCGAGAACTCGAGCTCCATCTTCTTGTTCTGCAGTTGGGCAAAGGACGACGCGAGCGTGGCTTCTGCAGAGCGAGCAGCCCTCTTCTTGCGCTTCTTCTGGCCATGCTCTCCGGCTTCAGCCTCCTCGCCGTCGCCCTCGTCCTCGTCGCTCCCATCGGCATCGTCGCCGTGTCCTCTCCGCTTCTTGCCCACATTCTCGGCGAGTCCGCTGAGCAGCTTGCCCGTGTCGGTCGCAACGCTGTCGACTCTGCTGGTGTAGATCTTGACGCAGCCGTCTAGCGTGCAGCTAGCCTTCTGGAAGTTGACGCCGTCGCCCTCTTTGAGCAGGGACATTTCGTGGAAGTAGTCGATGAGGGCGAAGTTCCACGAGTTGTTCGCGTTGATTTTCTGAGCGGGGCGTTAGCTTGGAGCAGCGACGACGGGCGTGCGCATGCCTACGTTGTCCGTCGCCATCTTCATCCATTCCTCGAAGTTGGCCAGCAGCGGCATAACGCGGGTGCCCGGTGTGACAGCAGTGCCAGTAACATCGGGCATGTCGTCGCCATCTTGCGACGGGGTGCGTGGCGTGTCGTGGGCGGCGGCAAGCGACACGCGGCGGCGTCCGGGAGTCGCAGTCGTAGTCGAGGCGCGCATCGAGTCGCGCTGGGCCTGTTGGTGCGCATGGCGGCGGGCGGCCTTTTCCTGGCGGTCGTCGTTGAGCGGCACTCTGCGAGCGACGGGTTAGCCTAGCAATGCGCCCGCGCGGAGCGTTGGGGCCTACCTGACAGGCGTCTTCTGGGGCGAGGCGGCCGTGGTATACTTGGTGGAGCGCGCCATGCTGGGCGATGGGTGTGGTGCTGCAACAGCCGTTCTGGCGTCGATGCCCTGTTGCTGTTGTTTGTTTGGGCGCCACAGATGCCCCGCCGCTATCACCAGACAGGCAGCGGCAGCACCGCCACGCGCTAGCGCAGTGGCGGCATTTCCCCGGACCAGCCGCCAGCCCAAACGCTTCACGCACCGCCCTCCGCTGGCTCGCCGCCCGCTGTGCCTTCACGCCTCGCACCGCCTAAAACCCGTCTTCTCCTCGACTCGTCAACCAACATGCCTCGGCCATGGACGACCTGACCATCCTCGCCCACGCCCAGCGGTTGCGCCGCCCCCGCTACTCGGCGCGCCCCTTCGCCCTCACCATCCTCGCCATATCCCTCATTTCGCTGCTGGCATGGGCCCGGTCGCAAGCCCCAGCCGGGCGTGCTCTGCACACGAGGGGGGCCGTCTCGACCAAGGACGCCGAGTGCCGCCTCGTCCACCATGCGCTGGACCAATGCGACTTTGTGCGCGCAAACTGCCCCGATGAGGAGGCTGGCGTCATGTCCTACCTCGCCCTCTACTACTGCCGCCTCCCGCACGCGAAGCCCGTCGCTTTTGTCCTGCTGACGCTCTGGCTCGCCCTCCTCTTCAGCACCATTGGCATTGCCGCAAGCGACTTCTTCTGCATCAACCTCAACACCATAGCGCGCATGCTGGGCATGAGCGAGAGCCTGGCCGGCGTGACCCTGCTCGCCTTTGGCAACGGCAGCCCCGATGTCTTCTCCACCTTTGCCGCCTTCCGCACCCACGCTGCCAGTCTGGCTGTCGGCGAGCTTATCGGTGCTGCCTGCTTCATCACCGCTGTCGTCTCGGGCTCCATGGCCCTGATCCGCCCCTTTCAGGTTGCGCGCAAAAGCTTTGTCCGTGACGTCGGCTTCTTTCTTGTTGCTGCTGCCTTTAGCATGGGCTTCATTGTCGACGGCAAACTCCACCTGTGGGAGTCCGTTAGCATGGTGGCCTTCTACATCTTCTACGTCGCCTTTGTTGTGGCCTGGCACTGGTGGCTCAACCTACGGAAAGCCCGACGCGCGCGAGCAGCCGCTGTTAGGAGCCACTACGTAACACCCGGCGGTGAAGAGGAGGAGTTTCCAGAGTACCACGACGACGAAATCAGCGCTGCTTCTGCGACCCCTGCGTACGGCGCCTCCGCTGACGACTTTTCCATGCTCGAACGCGCAGGAGGCGACAATACGATACATGACGATGACAACGAGGAGGAACGTGAGCGCTGGATGGGCGAGTTGACCAACAATATGCGCGTCAACCGCCCAAGCGTGTCGCGGCGCAACACCCATACCCCGATCCGACCCAGTTTAGTAGGAGCTTTGGAGTTCCGAGCCGTACTTTCCTCACTGCAAAAGTCGCGCAACATCCAGTCTATGCCAATCAGCCTGCGACGGTATTCCGACGACCCTACCTACACTACTGCCCAGCAGCAATCCTACATCGGACAGACTACAGGTCCAGCGACTCGGCCTCCATTTGACCTGCCTTCTTCTGCCTCCAACATCTCCACCTCACCCCACCTGAGCCGACCGAATCTCGAGATCCAGCAGAGTCTAGGCAACCGAGCGCGAGCTGTCTCCACCAATGACATTGACAATGTTCAACTACAGCCAAGCACCCTACAAGGACAATGCGTGCCTGACATAACATTTGCGTCTGCCACTCCCAGCGAGCGCAACGGATTGTTGGAAGCGCCGCCCTCACCAACTATCTCGTTATCTTCGCCAGTCTCCCGCTCTTCTAGAGCCCCGAGTCCTACGGCACCGAGAGATAGGCTGCTTTCACCCAACAATTTGGCGCCTCCAGGTGCCGAGGATGGAGCGCCCCTTCGTGTAGTCCTGCCTTCGCCGAATCTACGATCAAGCCCGGCATCAAACTCCGGCCATAGCCGCGAACAGCCTAGTCTGAAGCTGGCCGTACCAGATGCGACTTCCCCACCCATACCATTCCCGCCTTACACCGATTACCCTTGGTCAGCACAGTCCACTTCCAGACCTCAGAGTCTACGTCCGCCTTCGCCAAGTGTGTCACTCGAATCTACCTACTTCCCACGAGATTCCTTTGGGCAGCTCGAACCAACAAAAGTTCCCACGTGGTGGCCCTCGGCACTCCTACCGACCCCGCATAGTCTGGTTGCTACCCTCTTTCCCACTTTGACCAACTGGCGTGACAAGAACGTTTTCGATAAGCTTTTGGGGCTAGTCGCAAGTCTGCCTGTATTCCTGCTTACTATAACGCTTCCGGTGGTCGAGCCGCAAAAAGACGAGAACGACGGAGGCCATGCCCAGCTTTCCCTGGATCTCGGTATGCCACACGCAGCTACACCAGGTGATGCAAGCATGAGATCGCAAACTCCCAGTGTATCCCTTGTCTTGCC